GGGGGGGGGGGGGAGGGAGAGAAGGAGAGAGACCGGGCAGCATGGCCAATGCTGACTCACTAATGGGAGAGAGACAGAGAGACAGAAAGCGAGAGACCCACACACACAACACACACGGGTAGAACCGGTACCCTTTGACGAAAATGTATGTGTTTGTGTTTTTTCATCCCGCTACAAGGCTGGCGAGGTATTTTCATTGGTCAGCCGGTTAGCGCGATCAATGATATTAAAGACCACACCCACGCACGCACGCACGCACGCACGCACAGGAACACACCTGGTTTTGAGCGCCGCTGCCTCCTTCTCAGCCTTCTCCAAGAACGGTTTCATCACCGGGACAAACCTGTCCCCGTGAGGGCCGGGCATCTTCTCCGCCATGCCAAGCTGCACGAGACAGAGAAAGGGAATGCCAGCCATTAACATAAACGAGAGAACCAGCGAGAAAAAACAGAAAAAAGGATAAAAAAAAAGGCCGGGTCTGTGGCATCTTTTTAAGGTTGTCCATTCTCGGGAGGGGGAAGGGGGGGGAGGGGGGGGGGGGGTGGGGGGGGTGGGGGGTGGGGGGGGTACTCATAGTCGTGCATGCCGTAGTCGTTTGACCATTGACCTCGCATCCCTACAAAGCCAGGACGGAGCACGCCGGGTTCTCACCGGACCAGGCTCTCACATCACCAAGCGCGAGGGGGGTCAACGCGTGCCATAGATGTCATAGTCGTTCGACCATTGACCTCGCATCTCGATAATGCTGGGACGGAGCTATACGCTTGAAACAGACGACCTTCCCCTAAGCCACGCAAGAGGAAGGTCTCGGCTGATCGTTAGACCATTGACGTCGCGTCTCTACAATGCTGGGACGGGGCGATATGCTTGAAAGAGAAGACCCTCCGCTTTGCCATAGGCAAGAGGAAGGTCTCGGCTGATCACCTCTCTTGGGGGGGGTGGTCGGGTAATGCACGCGTCAAGCCGAGAAGGAAATCCTGCATGCAAACACACTAGCAGACTCTTGCGACGGGAGACTCGAACAACAAAACACAACATAGCAGCACATCCTCGCGAACTGTCATAACAACAAGAGGCAAGGCGAAAAAACAACCGCGAGAACTGTGGCAACACCCAAACAAAATTCAACGCCGCAAAACCCACCTGTGGTTTAGCTCGTCAGCGGCAGGCACCCGAACGTCGACCCTCTCGCTCATCCACTCCGGCAGCATCGCCTAGATACAGTAAAGTCGCGATTTGGCGTTGTAAAATCATCGCATTGTGTGAACACGCACCACAAAGCGTCACTGAGCACTGAAAAAAAGAAATATGCGGCAGCATGTCGATGTTCACACTTGACCCTACGGATGAGTGGTGACAGATACACAGCGTTGGGGGCTCCAATCCAAGCCGCAGCTAGAAGCACCGCGCACACGGCACAAGCGGGTGGTGGTAACTGTGGTCTCCAGACAATCTCCAAATCACTACTGTACAAGTATAGGATAGCAAGGTCTTCGACGGCACCAGCGAGAGTAACCACACCGACTACTATTATACAACCGTGCATCACCTTCAGGTCTTCCTCCAGCCTGTCGCCGAGCCCATCCATCCGAGCCGACCCTCCCACCACCACGATGTCGTCGAGCATGTCTGCCTTGGTGTCAGAGTCGAGCTCTGCGAGCGCATCAAGCACCGCCTGAGAGAGACTCCTCGACACGCCCCCTTCGTTCCAAAGCCCAGGCTGCAGGTTAAGAGGAAAGCAATCGCAATGGACATCAAAGTTGCGAACAAAACAATACGAAGGAAAATCGAAGTTCGAGAAGGGGAGAGGAAGGTACATCGAAGACAGGAAACAGTAGGAGGGAACGTCGAAATTGCGAAGAAAGCAGTAGGCAAGAACATCAAAATTGCGAAGAAAGCAGTAGGAAGGAACATCGTAATTTTTCCGGGCGACAGCAGGATCACCTCGGGCTGCATCTGCTACGTGGGGAGGCTGCCGCCAGCAATCCTAAACGAAGATCGGGGGATCTGGGTCCAAGAGGTCGAGCTCAGAAAAACACCGCAAGGACGCGAGATAACGCACGGTTCGATGATATCGCGCGTACCCGAAAACTCGCACGCCCGTGCGATAAAAAATCAAGAACGAAACCATTTAGAAAATCGATCGCACCCTCGTGCGTTCTCTCGCATCCTTACGGCAGTCAAGACCGCACCACCAACAGCAGCAGCAAACAACATCGTGACTTGCCGTGAACAAGATCTCCGGGGCGTGAAACCTCTCCCGGCCGATCTTGACATCGAGCTCGCTCCCGGACTTTAGCGTGAAAGTCTTGGTCTTGGTCACCTCCTCGTCCTTGTCCGTCTCGTCGATGAAGCTGTCGGAAAACCGTGAAACAGTAATAATACGGTGCGGTACGATACGGCATGGATGAGTCGAAACTCACACCACTACCAGTCGTGATGAAGGAAAACCGAACAAGGCGAACCGTAGCTACAACGACGATGACCACGCGAGGACGACCATAAAGAGAACCCTCCACAGCAGTGCATGTATGCGGACGAAAGCGCCAACACAAACAACAAAGACTGGCAGCGGGAGACGAGCAGAGCACAAAGGTGCATCGCCTCTGTACGACACATCACCATGAGCGCAAAAAAAATGGAACGTAGTGTAAGCATGATGAACTGCCGCGAACCATTGGCGGCGGCTTGCGTGCCAAACCCTGCCAAAAAAATATCGCGCTCTCACCCAAAGCACTGTTACCCCGCCAGCCTACAGCAAGACACCACGTGGCACGTGTGACCTACATAGCTAACACGGGCGGCCAAACTCACTCTCTCGAGTCGCAAGCCTCGTAGCCGGAGAGCATCGGCGACGCCTGCGCCCCCTTGCAAACCCGCATGGCCTTCCTCTTGAACGCGCCGTACTCTTCCACCTCCAGCGCGAAGTCCAGGGGCACGTAACACTGCTCCTCCTTCATCTCGCGGGTGTACTCCAGCCGTCTCCGATCGGTCTTGCCGGTGGAAGGAGGTCAAAAAAAGCCACAGCGAAGAGAGACGATGACGATCAGATCTCCGGAGGGGTGAGTAACAACGCACGGGTCGGAAAAATCGTACGTGTATTGTACGTGTCGGCAACATCGTAGCGTATCGCAAGGGTCGTTGATATCGTACGGGTCGGTGATATCATATGGGTCGTTGAGGGTCGGTGATATCGTAAGGGTCGGTGATATCGCACCCCCGTGCGATAAAAAGTCAAGAACGATATGTCTACAAAATGATCGCACATCGTTCGAGAGAACTACGGGTCGGTGATATATCGCACTCCCGTAGGACAAAAAGTCAAGAAAAAACGACGAAAAAAATCGATCGCACCATCGTGCGTTCTCGCGCATCCTTACGGAAACATGGCGGGGGGCGACGGGGATTCAAGGGTGGGTGCTTATACGGAAAAGTTTTCTCGGCGCCTTGAGAGGGTAGTATAAAATAGCCTCCCCCCGGGCAGTGGCCTTGATGAGATTAGAGGGTGGCACCAGAACAGGCTGTCGCCCGTTCTTGAAGTTGGGACAACGAAAAAAAGCGATGTGATGTGGATGCGAGGGTCGGTGTTGATGCAAGGCCAAATCGAGAGCGAACGCGATCGCACCAAAAAACGTTTTCTCTCTCGGAACCGGACCTTTTTCAGCCGACAACCTCCGCTCCTCATTCTCCAACACCATGAAAGCCTCCGTGCACGAAAGGCCTAAATCGGGACACTCGTTCACCATCTGGCGACCAACGAGAAGCCCACAACCTCCACTTGTCATTCTCCAACACCATGAACCCTCCAGGCATGTGATGAGGCCAAACCATCACAATCACCATCTGGGACATATGACAAGCCGATAACTTCCACTGATTATTCTCCAACCCCACAACGCCTTTGCGCATGAAAGGCAAAACCGACGCACTAACTCACCATCTGGGGGTCTACGACAAGCCGATATCCTCCACTGATCATTCTCCAACCCCTCTGCGCATGAAAAGACTGAACCGACATACTCGCTCACTTCTCCAAAGCTTACAACCTCCACTTCTCACTCCCCAACCCCAAGACCGCTACACGCTCCACCAAACCGGCGCACTCACTCCCTCACTGGACTCAGACAAGCCGACCACCTCATGCTCCCACCCCCAACACTCCTCCGCGCACGGAAAACAACACTCTCGCTCACCATCTGGTTGAAGTGCTCGTTGGTGCGGCTCAGCAGCATGTAGTCCAGGAACTTGGTCACGTCCCCTCCCCCGCAACACTCCGACCTCACCGCCGGTGGCACCGGGAATCCGTCGAAGATGGGCGTGACCGACACCCCGGACTCGCCGATGTCTACGATAACGCCGACCTTCACGCCCACCGCCAAAGCGGCCAGCTGCGCTTCGTTTACCATGCGAATCGCTGGAACCTGCACCAGGCATGAAAGACAACAGCCGTCAGTGTGAGTTGCGCTTTTTCTTACCATGCGAATCGCTGGAACGTGGTTCGGGAGAGGCATGAATTGATAAACAGCCGTCTTCAGCTGGAAAGGATCACATGAAGAGGCACGTACTGGATCCGGTAACGTGCCAAGGGGTTAGTTCACGGCGGAACAATGCTACGCATATGACGTGCTGGTGAGCTGATGAAAAGGAGCGTAGTGAACGCCCGCAGATTTCAGATATTGTGTGTGTGTATCTTGTATACTAACCAGCGTCGGCCACGCTGACCGGCTGACCAGCGAAAGACGTCAGCCTCGATGCGTTTGAAAAACAACACAGTAGTAGCTTTCGCGCGGTTTTTCGTCTTTTATGCAAACATGTTGGATAAAGCATTCAATCGGGGAAGTTGGGTTAGGGCTAGGGTTAGGGGTAAGGAATGGGACCTGCGTCCCCCCTCCCTGTTCTTTTTCCTCGTAAAACTTATTGATCGCGCGAAGGCGGTCCACAAAGAAAGGCAGCGGAGGGAACAGGGCTAGCACGAAAAAAAACAAACAAACACGACACCCATCCCTGGAACCAACCACACTCACCCTGTGGACCTCTAGCAGAACCGACGCGAGAGCGAGCACCTCGTCCACAGTGGCCGTGGGCTTGTACGTGAGCAGGGTGGGGGACAGGCTGGAATCCTGCTTAAGCAGGCCGTACGCGTGGTCCGCCAGTCTTTCCGTGTCCTCCCTGACACAAAGAAAAAATAGAAAATGCCGCGTTGTATTGTAGCACACATGACATCGTCGACGGTAGGGAGGCATATATGCACTGCTGTAGAATAAACAATAGCATCGGGCCTTCCTCCGCTGTGTGACCCCGGTTGGTGCGTCCAGAATTTGGAGCCAAAGGTGCAAAGGCAGACGTTTAGAACGAATGGGATTGGGATAAAGAAGAACATGATATTTCGCCGACTAGCAGGTATAGACACAGATGGATCTAAGAGGGAAAAATGTCACATTTTCTGGCATCTGCGGCTTTCAAGAAGGATTCGAGGACTTATCGTTTCAAAGACTAAATGGCACAATCGCTTGAACATATTGAACAGCGTTGGAGCAAGACTATTAACAGAGAAACGCCGCCAGGGTATGTATCCCTGTACCCCCAACCAGCACGCGCGAACTTCGAAGCACCATCTCGAAGTGAGGGGGGAACGTGAAGCGTTCGAGACGTGCAGGTACCCAAGATGACATTGAAAATCCGACCGACACCCTCCTTACGAACGCTGGGGAGGGGATAAACAACAAAAATTCCGAGTCAACCCAGAAGAAAAAAAAATGGGAAAAATACACACAATGCATACACACACTTGGGATAGATAGATCTCCGTTATCCCTTGTGATCGGCGTATGCACACCTAAAAAACAAAAAAAATGCTGCTGTATTCTGCTCAAGGAACCGTAGAAACGCAAGTTGGTCACCGCACAACACCATAAATTCAATGCTAATCTACCACGGACTCTTTATCTGTGGAAGAGGTCGATTTGTCGTGTTCCTCGTAAGGCAAGCGCGCGCGCGCACCTGCTCGGCGGCTGGTCTCTCCTCCTCATCGGGCACGATAGTCGGAGCTTGGAGCGCAGGGCGATGGAAGGGTGGTCCAGGCAGCAGTACCACGCGTCCCCTCCCACGAAAACGCCAGTGCTATCAAATGGCATCGAGTTGCAGGGCGCAGGGGGGCAAGTCAATCACTCACGGGGCCACTCTATGAAGCGTGGGAAACCTCATGAAACAAGGCTTAGATTGAGGGGTCGCGGATGTCAGCAGTACCACGCGTCCCCTCCCACGAAAACGCCTGCGCTGCCAAGTGTGCTTTGGTGAGATGGTGACGGACGACATTGAGTTGAGGGGGACGAACACTCCGTGAATGTGGGAAATCGACTAACAAGGGCGGCATGCAGCACTTATTGAGTACAGGCGACGGGACGATACGATTTCGTCCTGCATATTTTCAAACATCGAAACGCGGCTGGGAGCACGCCATCTCACCTTGGTCAGTGATTCATTCTTCTTCGCTGAAGTTTGTACAAACCCATGCACCAAACCCATGCACATGCGCCCCCGCGTCTTATTCGAACAAAACAAAAACAACACACACTCTCGGAACTTGGAGTACGAGGGTCGACCAACGTCAAACCCATGCACATGCCCCCCCATGCATACCGTATATGACACAAGATAACACACCCCCTGGCCCGATTTTCAAAGATCGATTACTCGACGACGAAGAGGATACATAAACGAAATGATACATTTTCCAAAAGCTCTCAACGAGACGGTTCCAACGCCGCCATTTTCGGCGCTGTGAGTCTTCCTGCTGTTGAGAAATCGATCTTTGAAAATCGGTCAAGGGGGTGTGTTATCTTGTGTCATATACGGTACGTCTCTCCATCCTCGAACGAAAACGATTGCAACACTCACTCTCGGAACTTGGAGTACATGGGCGCCGCCAGCGACGACGCTCCGTTAACGAGCTCGTCCAGGTCCGCCCCTTCCCTCGAAGGCCTCGCCACGCAGCAGGGGAAGTCATCGAAGTACGACGACGACTTACCCTCCTCCCCGGACGGCGTCACGACCCCCGCCCTCACCCTCCACGCGCCGAGCTCCAGCACAACCGTGTTCCCCTCTCTCCCGAGCCCGTGATCCGCGGGCGCGAGCCTCACCATAGGAGACAGACAGCTCAACGGCGGCGACTGGGCGAGCCGCGCGGCGGCGTGCGGCAGCAACCCCGCCCCGGGCGACCAGCTGGCCCTCGACTTCTTGCCGCCCCTGAGCGGCAACGGCGACAGGCTCTTGGCGCAACCGCCACCGTCGCCGCCGCCGCCGGGGCGGTACCCCCCTCCCCCGGGAGCCACGCTAGCGCGGGCCCCCCTCGACCGCCTTGCCCCCGGGGGCGGGGACAGGGACATGCTGAGGCGGCGGGCAGAGGTACTCCTTCCACCGCGGTGGACTCCGACCTTTTGGTCTTCGTTTCGATCGAACATGGCGGCAGCGGCGGCGTAGGTAGCCGACACGGGTGGGTCGGCAGATGGCCGGTCTTCGGAGTAGTCCAGTCGGGGTGCTAAGGGCGACAGCGACAGCCGGGCGGCGCCGGCGCCGGCGTCCTTACCGTCGTCAGCCGAGAGCTCTCCATTTTCGACGGTCCTGTCGGATCCCTCTTGCTCACCGTCAACGCTACTTCTCCCCCCTTCGGACTCGGACTCCTCGTCCCCTTCCTGCACTACGCTCATCTTGCCCCCGTAGCCGGCCACACCCCCTCCTTCTTCCCCTTCGCTGTCCGAATCTTCCTCCTCTGCTGCCGAGCTCTCCGTGCCGCTGCTGTCAGCCTCCTCGACGATAGCCCCAAGCCCGGAGCTCTCCCCAGACGAATCGATCTCCTCCTCGGATGACAAAGAAAAAGTCCGCGTCATGTCCCCACCTGCGACAGCAGCACCATCATCATCGCTGCCTCCCGCGTTCTCCCGCCTACTCGCCGACCCCGGCATCCCGATAGAGCGTCGTTCGGAGGACCCCACGTTACCGTAGAGCTGCTGCTGCTGCTGCTTCCGGGTGGCCATGGCTGCCTGCGCTCCCCCCGCTTCCGCCGCTGCGGACGCAACGCGAAGATTGCCCAGCTCCTGCCTGAGCTCGTTAAGCGCGTTGTCCTGGCGGGCGACCAAAAAAAAGCGGGGGGAAGCGTGTTTGCGAAACGGCAGTCAGCAGAGCGTGCGGAGCAAAAAACGACAGGGGAACGGACGAAAAAATAACATCAGCTGTTGTACATCTCCAACCAAAATCGACTCCAGGCAATAGACTCAAAGAACCCTTTGATACCACGTACGTTCCCCCCCTTGAAATCCGGACAATGGAAAAAAATAAAAAATGCAGGCAATGGTCCACTACCCCCCCTCACCTTGCACGTGAGGCTCTCACGGAGCCCCCTCACCACTTTGCCGTCCGTCGCGAGCACGCGTGCTTCGGCCTCCTTCTGCTTGAGGCGGAGGGACTTTGCTGACAGCTGGTCCTCGAGATCGTCTGCCCTACCCGCCGCCGCGCGCAGCAGCTTTATCTTCGCTTCGCTCGCCCGCTTCGCCGCGGAAAACTTCTGGCGCTCTGCTGCAAGGGAAGCCTCTGCGCGCCTCAGAGCCTCGCGGGAGCTAGCAGCATTCTCGCGGAACACGCGGAAGTCTTCCCGTTCTTTGACGAGAGCCTCTCCCTGCTTTGCGAGGTCGGCTTCCAGCTGTTCCTTCGATGCCTCGAGGGCCTTCTTGAGCGCTTCAGACTCCTCCCGCTCGGCAGCGAGATCCCCCTCCACCTTCCGAAGCTGCGCGTCCTTGCCCCCCCCCAGCCCCTCAGCGTTCTCACGGAACACGCGGAAATCTTCACGTTCTTTTGCGAGAGCCTCCCCTTGCTTCCCGAGGTCGGCTTCCAGCTGCTCCTTCGACGCCTCGAGGGTCTTCTTGAGCGCTTCAGACTCCTCCCCCTCAACAGCTAGATCTCTTTCCACCTTCCGAAGCTGCGCGTCCTTGCCCTCCGCCAGCCCCTCAGCGTTCTCACGGAACACGCGGAAGTCTTCACGTTCTTTGGCAAGCGCCTCTCCCTGCTTTGCGAGGTCGGCTTCCAGCTGCTCCTTCGATGCCTCGAGGGTCTTCTTGACCGCTCCAGACTGCTCCCGCTCAGCAGCTAGATCTCCTTCCACCTTTCGAAGCTGCGCGTCCTTGTCCTCCCCCAGCCCCTCAGTGTTCTCACGGAACACGCGGAAGTCTTCCCGTTCTTTTGCGAGAGCCTCTCCTTGCTTTCCGAGATAGGCTTCCAGCTCCTGCTTCGATGTCTCGAGGGCCTTCTTGAGCGCTTCAGACTCCTCTCGCTCAGCCACCAGCTCTTCTTCAATCCTCCCAAGCTGTGTCGCGCTTTCCTGTTCCACCTTCGCAGCTTTCTCGCGGATGATGCGGAAACCTTCGCGTTCTTCGGAGAAACCCTCCCCTTGCTTGGCGAGGTCGGCTTCCAGCTGCTCCTTCGATGCCTCGAAGGTCTTCTTGAGCGCTGCAGACTGCTCCCGCTCGGCAGCAAGATCCCCCTCCACCTTCCGAATCTGCACGTCCTTGCCCTCCCCCAGCCCCTCAGCGTTCTCACGGAAAACGCGGAAATCTTCCCGTTCTTTGGCGAGAGCTTCTCCCTGCTTGGCGAGATCTGCTTCCAGCTGCTCCTGCAAGGCCTCGCTGGTCTTCTTGAGGGCAGAAGACTGCTCTCGTAGGGCGACCAGATCTCCTTCCACCGTACGAAGCTGCACGTCCTTGCCCTCCCCCAGCCGCTCAGCGTTCGCACGGAAGGCGCGGAAATCTTCCCGTTCTTTGGCGAGATCAGCCCCCTGCTTTGCTAGATCGGCTTCCAGCTGCTCCTTCGATGCCTCGAGGGTCTTCTTGAGCGTCGCAGACTGCTCCCGCTCGGCGGCAAGATCTCCTTCCACCTTCCGAAGCTGCGCGTCGTCACCCTGCCCCAGCCCCTCAACGTTCTCACGGAAGACGCGGAAATCTTCGCGTTCTTTGGCGAGCTCTGCACCCTGCTTTGCTAGGTCGGCTTCCAGCTGCTTCTTCGATGCCTCACTGGCCTCCCTGAGCTCCTGCTCCCTCGCCAAGTCCCCCTGCACTGCCTGCAGTCGCGCTTCGTCTCTTATCTGCAGCGGGATATAGCCGTCGCGGAAACGTCGGAAATCCTCGCTTACCTCGGCGAGAGCCTTCCCCTGCGCGGCGAGCTCAGCTTCCAGCTGCTCCCTCGATGCCTCGCTTGCCTCAAACCGCTCGCGCTCGGCAGCCAGGTCATCCTCCACCGCCAAGATCTTCGCCTCACTAACCCCCGAAGCAGCTTCCCGGAACGCGCGGAACTCCTCGCGAACTCCGTCCAGGGAGTCTTCCAGCTGCCTCTGGGCCGCCGCGCTCGCCGTCGTGGACGCAGAAGACTTCTCCCGCTCGGCGGCCAGGGCATCCCGCAGCGACCGGACCCGTTCCGCCCCGGCCTCCTCCCTGGCGGAAACCTCCTCCCGGAAGACCCGAAACCGTTCCCTCGCCTCTGCGAGACTAACGTCCGCGGCTGCTGCGGCGGCCGCTGCCTCGACCGTCCGTCGCTGGACGTCTTCCTCCCTCGCGCGCTTCAAGGCCGACAGCTGGTCGCGCTCTGTGGCCAGCGCCCCCCGCAGCGACTCGAGCCTCGCCGCACCGGCTTCCTCATCGGCAGCGGTCTTCTCCCGGAACTTGCGGAACTCTTCTCCCAGCTGGGCGAGGGTAGCCTCGGAGTCGGCTCGTGCGAGGGCCGCCTCCGCCTTTGCCCGTGATGCTTGGAAGCTGAGGTCTCGGGCGGCGGCCTCCCTGACGCTGGACAGCTCGGTTTTCGATTGGTCGAGCGCAGTTTCAGCTTCAGAAAGCTGTGGTGTTGGTTTCGTGGGGTACAAGTAAATAGTGGTCGGAAACAACAGTTGCGAACAGGGGGGGGGCGTTGGGTGTTAGGCTCCTGGGTGGGCGGTTCACGTACCTTCGGTGTGCAGCATTAACCAGTGCGCATACACACAGGCTGCACACAGGCTGTGAAGGTTGAGTACACTAAAAGCATGGACGGACCCAGGCAAGGGGCGCGGAATCTGCTTGTACACATGGTTCTGTGCGAACAAGCACTGTAGTGTTTTCTACACCAGCTGCTGTTCGTGATACCGAATAAAGTGCGACTCGAATGACAATCCTCACCGTCCAGGTCGGAATTCGTTCGCAATGTCGTCTGAAGTGCAACATAGGGTCGAGTGCGAGTGCGAGGTACCACCTCTATATCCTACCCCCTCCACCCCTGTGGGGTTTAAACATGCGTTTTATATGCACACACCACAACACTGCAGCAGTACAGGAGAGCGTAGAGCATAATACTGCTCCACAACTGGTGGTCTGATTTCCAACACTTCGAAAAAACTGCACAACAAAGCAGTTGCGGTACCGAAAATTGGCGGCGTCGTTATGCTGCTGTCATGCCGAGAGAGAGAGTCTTCCGAAAAGTAAAAGTCATCTTATTTTGGCATCCTCTTCGTCGTGGAGTATTGTAGTCAAATTCGGGCCAGTATCGCATGCGACCCGACGCACAGCGTAGTTCCATTTTTCATCCCTTGTTCTGCACATGAGGTTCGCGGGAACCCATAGCGCATTTTTCATCATGAAATACCTCGCAAACGTCTGTATAAGGGGCAAGCAGCTGGGGAAAAGAGACACTGTTGCTGTAGATAGTTAGATAGTCCTCTTTCTACGCACGGTAACGAGGAAGAAGAGTCGCGCCGCGATTGTATAGGATTTCACCCACGCAACAACCTTTTCATATCGGAACATTAGTCGCAGCAGCTGATCGTCCTGCTGTACAACAGGTCAGGAGGCGGCGCGGAGCCTGACCCCTACTTCGCCACGACCAGATCTAGTGTGCCCAAGCTCTACTGCTGTAGATCCCCTTGCTCTCACCAGCTGGCGCGCCTGCTCGCGTTGAGGCCTTGCGCTCTCGAACTCCAACACCCTCTGTCGCAGCTTGTCGTTCTCGGCCTGTAATTCCACAACGATACCGCCGAAACTGCTGCTGCTGTTGACCACAGGGACCTCCAACGGCTGCTGGGAAGAGTACTTCCGGAGGTCTTCCGGCTGAATGCTCTGCTCGACTAGGTTGCGGATGGCTCCGAAGAAATCCAGCGGGTCGCCCCCTGCGAGCGCGGTCTTGTCGCCATCATCATCCCCTGCTGGCATCATGTGCTGCTGCTGCTGTTGGCCCGCTAGCCCTCCGATGATACTCTCAACGGAGAGGGGAGCACCCTCGCGTGATCTTAGCGACGCACACCGAGCCATCTTGGGCCGTGCTGGCTTGTCACCAGCAGAGGTCCCTCGCCACCCAAGCGCCCGCTAACGGCTGCCCTTGGTCTGCTGTCGCAATGAACGCACAGCAGTCGGAGAGCGGATAGAGCGCGCGCCCCCACCGGAGACACCTAAACGTAACGTGCAGATAGATATAGAGCCGCAGTTGACTTCTTCCCCCGGTGCTGTCAGAAGCAGTCTCTCTCGATCGGTAAAGCAGCTTATTCCTCCAGCGTAGTCTCTCCTCCGCCCCTCGCCTGGCTGCTGATGGTGTGCGTTGATTTCCTGCTGCCTCGTTCCAAAAAAACCGTTGGTACATAATAAAAGAGGAAACCTGCCCGCCAGAAAAAACGCCTCGCGGCCGAAATGGACAACCCTCGACGATGAACCACGGCGCCCCCCACGCTAGAAAGTTGTAGAAAGCACACCACGTCCTCGGCAGCAGGATCGGAGTATCTTGTGTCTCTGGGATTTCGGGAGGAACGGCTGTGTATAGAGAAGCTATCATGCCCACTGACACGCTGAGCAACGATGACCTGACGCGGTTGTATACGTGGGTGGACGAAATCAAGCTGTCCAGGCCGAAGCGCAACATCACGAGAGACTTCAGCGATGGCGTCCTTGTCGCAGAGGTGAGAGCTAAACGCAGCAGACACGGCGGATACCGCCCGCGTAACGGTTGAAGTTTGACATGATGATGACCCCCGAGGCCGGCCCCGTCTGCATTTCAGCAGGTGCATGCTGCCTGAGGTGAGTTTCGGGACTATATGTGTCGTGGTGGCACATGCACATGTATGTAGACATGCCTCGATCATGTTACAGCAGTACTGCTGCTGTAGATCCTTTGGGGTGTACAGCAGGTTATGAGGGTCCGATTGGGGAGGTGGATGTCAATGGGTACGTACAGCACAGTAGACGACGATCTTTTGGGCACCCCCCCTGCTGGCAACACGCAGCAGAAACACCGTAGCCCCGGTCGCTGGGATTGATTTGCACATGATAAGATGTTGGAAAGAGTATGGCACAGCTGTGCCACTTGCTCGTTCATTTTTGCGTGGTGGTGTTGTGATACATCAGAGCCACAGCAGTGATTTTCACGTATACTGCTGCCCGCTGTGAACTTCTTCTGTGCATAGTCTGCTGCTATATGTACTCCCCAAACCTAAAACCAATTAAATAAATGAACACACCCCATATATATTTTATTGTAGTTAGGGACTTTTTCAAGTCGCCTGATATCATCGAACATCTATCTCTGTGTGATTTTATGGAGTAGAAGCACCCACGTATGCATAGCAGAAACATGAACGGACCCGACTCTGATGACACACGTATGCATTCGACACGTAAACGCACACGTCACAAGTTAATCATGCAACAGCTGCAGCCTTTTCGGACGTCCGAGGGTATGCTTTGGCGCGTTAGCCGTGTATCGGCCTATCCCGCCGGGTATTGTATGTATACCATGTGCTTGATTTTGCATGTAGAGGGCGGGGTACCAATATTGTTACATTTGGTCCATCCGTGCCAACTCGCACGGAACTGTGGCACAGCAGGATCATTCTGTTTGTTTCTCTCCAGTGTACAGCATGATTAGAGCATGCCGCTCAACAGACTTTGCATTGTAGCGTCTGATTATAGAAAATCTATTTTCCCAAAGGCTTGCCCTCGTCCTCCTGATAGACTATCCATAATCAAGTCGGACGGCGAACCCGCTGTACAATCCACTGCCGCCCACGACAGCCTTCCAATGCACTGCTGTCGCCGTCTTCCGTCAACTCGCGCGACCATCCCAGGTCGTGGCGTTTTACTTCCCGAAGCTGGTGGACCTCCACAACTACGCTGCTGCTAATGCGGTGGGCCAGAAAACGTACAACTGGAACACATTAAATGAAAAGGTAAGACGCAAAGCCACAACAAACTACCTGTAGACGTAGCTGGGGAAACGCGTCGAATAAGACCCACCCACCCGGACCCCTATGAACGATCCCTTCCCCTAACCCCATGTACCTCCTAGTGATTATATCATTGTCATGGGGGGTGCATGAGGGATTTGCGATGCCCCTTATCCCTGGGTCAACCATGGGCTTGCCGGGATGGGTTCGCGCACACCACATACGCGCGATACGTATATGTCACGGTGTTTAGTCTTCTCCATTAGCGTGTACTTTGAATCCGCATACTGGGCCCTGTCGTCCAACCTCCTCCAAACCCCCACCTTAAAGGGAAGCCAGATGACTTGAAACACTGTACAAATAGTTCTCGCGTTCGTTGTCTCGTTATTGTGTAGACTGATGCGTTTTTCATTGGTCAGCCGGTTAGCGTGGTCGATGTCATGCAAATAAGTACGCGTGCGCCCACACGTCGCGAACCACCCGATGTGGTGTCAACACTGGTGGGTCCTACACACTGCAACGACAACGGGACCGGCACCGCTGCTTGCTGTCGCCCCTTTGTAGGCGAAGGTTTCTTACAGTCTATGGTGGTGAAAATTGGGTGTGAGAAACGGTCGTGAGAACGTGAGGAAACAAGAGACAAACTACAGACAAGGAGCACGTGACAGCAACAACAGAGGAAATCAGGAGAATGGCTTGCACTATCCGACACTACAGAAAACATGAAGCTCCGTTCCAAGTATTTCAACGGCTTGAGCTGGTTTTTCGGCTCAATGATGACGTTGCTGATCATCTCCAGGCCCCAATTGTAGCGGTGCTGATACTTGCTTGTAGTGTGTAGCCGTGTTGTTCTGCTGTAGTATCGTTGCTGGGGGACGACAACGACCGCGGAATACAAAACTACTTCAACATACTGCTATCGTCATGCTCTGGTAAACTGTGGTCAACCCTCCTTCCGATAGGTCTGTCCGCAGCATTCTATCGAGTTCTGGGTCGTTTGTGGCCCCCCAAACACAAGAATGACGGCTCTGTAGTACTCATACCCTACCCTATGCCCGGACAGGTTCTGAAAAAGATGCAGTACCAAATTCCAAAGGCAGACGTGGACGCGGTGGTGCAGTGCAAGCCGGGAGCGATCGAGAAGGTGCCTCAGTCTGAGGTCGCAGTTTTTGGTGTTGCGTAGACACTGTGTATGTATGTATTTATTACCCAGTAGTGTGCGAGATATTAGTCTCGTCTATCTTCTTCCTCTGCATCAAAGTGGTTATCTTTCTTTTCTTTCTTCCATGACACAATGAATGGCACCGTCCCGCCTTAGTAAGAAGACCGAGAATATCTCAGAGGACCAGCACGGTTGCCCAAGGCAAGTTTCGTTGAAAAACAGTCCACACAAGCGTGATATCTTACACCAAGGCTATCACAACCCCCCTTGGTACCCTTTTGGTCCATCCATCATAGCTACGGTACCAGCGCGATGACCCCCCCCCCTGCTCTCCTCCCCACCCCTTTCCAACTGTGCTACGCACGCCCACCCACCCCCTGATATACCCCCACGCTAAACTCGCTCCATACAGGTTTTGTACACGCTGCAGCTGAAAATGGCCCAGTATCGAGAGCGATGTAAAGCTGGCTGGGGAGCTTCCTCTTCTTCCCGATCAGAGCAGGATGCGAAAACCTCCGGCGGAAGCGGTGGGGTGGGGATGGAAGTTGCGATGTCCCCCGAGGACAAGCAGGCGCTGGCGGACAGAGAGGAGGAGACTCAGGTACGGGACGGTTTTAAGAACTGATCGGACAAGTTGGTGAAGTAGTCCAGGTCCGAATCCTGCACGAAAGACGTGCTCTTGAAATGACGTCCACAAAGTGAGCAAATAAGGTAGACTAGAGCTATAGCTCGAGAGGCTTGGAGCATGCCACATTAATCGATGAACGTGTGCATACGTGTTTTTCAGGTGGGCTTTGATTGGCTGTTTTGATTCGCCATGAATCCGGTGTGTGTTGTAGGACCCGAATAAGTTCGCGGGGAAGATCTCGCATCGCCGCCGTTGCATGCAGCGCTACAAGAGCTCGTACACCTTGGTGGCCACAATCCATGTTCCCAGCGGCCTACGACCAGCAGGTCGACATGCGAGCAGGCCAACGCGCGTAGATTGATGTAGACTAAACTGCAATACTTCGTTATGCTCTTGAGTCAACCTTCTCGTCTCTGCGCTTCTGACAAGAAGCTGCCGGCTTCCAAACACGATCGTTTTGATCGACCTACTTGTTTGTCATTTGTTGCGCTATACGTGTCTCGCCGGCGTATTCCTTGGATCATAACCTAGACGGTACCAATACCGAGTCGAACGCATCTAACCGTACTTCCGGACCCCCGTTGACCGTGGCTCCGTGGTGGACGGTAGGAACTCCGGGAGACGAACGAACTACTCCGTCTCAAGATTACCAAGCTCGAGCAGCTGCTGCGCCTCAAAGACGCAAAGATCCAGAGACTAACGGAAGCCGCGGAGGCTGGGGGAATGCTGCCATAGCCTCGGTTGCTTTTGGCTTGCGCGTGTGTGTGTGGCACTTGAGTACTGTAGGAGGGGGGATAGTGCACGAACGTGTTTCTTCTTTGTTAGCAGACACGTTTTTTTCTGCGGTGCCGTCCGCACTACTATTGCTATAATTTCAGCCTATCGGAGTGAGGTGTTATCCTGTCTCCCGGCTCAACTTGTTGACATGTGGACATCAACGAGATCGTGTCATTGGGGTCTTCGCCGTGTTGCAGGGCCAGTGATTTTAATTATTCGCTCATCCCTTGTGCTTCAGACACCGGGCGTACCACACGAGTCAAAAAAGGTGATAAATCGCTCGGGCCTAACGTTGACTGCCCCGCCCTCACTGGGGAAGGAACGGGGGTGACTTGCCGTGGAAGCACGCCGTACGCAGCGTATGCCGAGCCCTAGGGGGGCCTTGGACTATGGCTGCTTTGCCCTGCAGCATGTAAATAGAGTATCAACGCGTGCGGAAGGCTTGAGACGAGCACAAGGTCGGTTGCCAATACCACCGGCGTTTGTCGATCTCAAAATTTCCTCGAGATTGATGCCGTACAGCAGTAGGGATTCGTATGCATACGGGCGTGCGTGCCCAATGCCATACTTTCGCACACAACCCAGCTGTGTAAAGTGTATTGGGAGCACGACGTCGTACTTGTATGTGGGAAACACGGCAACCATCTGCGCAATACTGTCCAAAGATGTGAGGGTGGTCGCAGTATTCTACGTGCGCCCGAGGCACATGCATTCTGCGTTTCGATAGCCCTTAACTGGGCCAGCTGACAACTTCAATGAGGGACTGCTTTCGGTCCCCGAAAGGGGAAATGCGTCAACAAACGCCTGGTAAACCACCCTACAAAACGGAAAACCAAAAGCAACGTCAGGAGTGAGCACCTTGAGCGGTTGCAAACATCGGGCCACCGCAGTTCTACAAGCAGGGCGCCTACACGTCATACACCGCCTCGGCACGGAACGAAGCAGGCGCAACCAACTCTTTTGCAACCAAGGCACACGACAGGCAGTCTTATCATCTAAATCCTAGTGAGGGGGGGGAGGGGGGGGGTGCAGCTTAAGAACAGCTAAATATCGCCCCCGCCCTGCTGAGACTTCATTAGTCGCCCCAAAACGAACTCGCTCGTGTCGAAGTATTTCAAGACGGTGGCATTGATGCAGCTCTGTTCCGAGCTGGAGAGCGACGAGGACGGCTTCTGTATGCACTTCGTGAAAGCCAGGTCGGTGAGCCGGGAAACGATCGCCTGCATCTGAGCCTTCTGTTGCTCGATTTGCATCGCCGCCTGTACCAGAGAGAGGGTCCGCAGTTCAGGGAACGGGTTGTTATTGGCACAGGATTTTTGCGAAGCTTGGGAATCTAGCACGCCGCTTGCTCCGACTAAGACAAAATCGGCAACAGCAGTAGCCTTGGCAAACGTTTTTCGCGTTAAGTAACGTGTTGGATAAAGCATGCAACCGGGTTAATTGGGCTACGCTTGGGGTTAGGGATAGGGTCTACATACAATGGTTAGGGATAGGGTCTACATACAATGTACCCCTCCCTGTTATATTGCCTCATACACTCCAGCTTCCATAAAAGTAATACATTTATCGGGAAGGCGGTCCTTCGGTAAACACCCCGCCGGGGTACGAACATCAATCGCTAGCTTCATCACAGCGGGCGTGAATATGGACACGCCGAAGGTCCTGTGGAAACGAGCGTTGCAGCATACGTAACCGAGAGAGGATAGATACCTCGCGGGGCACCACCGACCGCAGGCGTGACTGAATGCATGTGGCAGACTTCGTCCAGTTCTGGCGAACGTTGCCAGAGGGTATATAGCGGCAAAAAATTCTGTCAGCCACGACTCAATAACATCCTTGGTTAATATGGTATTCAAAAATCCGACCCGTTGCAAGTGAGGATGGAGGGTCTGCTGAACGTTCCTCTAGCCACAAAAGCCATGCACCCAGAAGGGAACCTAAACCTACAGCAGCAGGCCCCCCCCAAGAGAGGAGAAACGATGTGGCAAATGCTCCGAAAACCCGGTAGGGACAGAAAACAAGACAACACCATAAACACGAAAGTTGGGGTTGGTGGTGTGTGTATTTCGGCGAACAATATTTCAAGCACCGCGCGCTGCAACTTACGGGGTCCCCGCAGGACGCCATTTGCGAATGCTTCCCAGCTGGTCGGTTACGTAAGATACCATACCCCCTTTGATTGAATTTCGAAGCTCGATTACTCTGAGGCGAAAACGGTAACGGTGCAGAGAATGGCGGCGCTGGAACCGCCTCTTCGGGAGCTTTCCGAAAACGTTTCATTTGAGGGTGTCATCCTCTTGGTCGTGGAGTAGTAATCGGGCTTTGAAAACCGGTGCAGGGGGTGAGGCATCTTGTGCAACCCATCACTCGGTTGTACTTGAAAAGTACTTGGCAGCAGCACCCTCTGGTATCGCAGCTACGACTACCGAAACAGATGTGCCAATCCGACATGACAGAAGTTTCATAGACGTGAGCGTTTCCGCCTTTGGCGCTGACACTTGCTTTGCAAGAAGTGCTATGTAATACGCAGTCGATGTTTGCGAGTACCGTGTGTGACAGTTTGAGACCACGCTGGCTCCTGAGGGCTTTCTGGACGTCCATACCAGCCGCGTTTTCGAGGGCACAGCAAGTGAGTACCGGCGGGGTCTTGCGACAACAGCACCAACAACGAGTCAAGCCGTATGGCCGAAAGCTTCACAGCAACAGCGCTTCGCTGCAAAACGAGACGACCTCTCTCCCCCTCCTTCTCTCATTGCTCTAACTTGCTGTGCTCGAGGCTGACCTGTAGATCACCCATTCCCGCCGACGTTGCGCCGCCTCCCCCTCGGCTAGGAGGGCCGCTCGCGAAGTTGGTGGATCCCTCGAACGCCGAGGTGTCCGACGAGAACGTCGGCTCCGGCGTGGACTCCGGCTCCGGCTCCTTCTTCCCTCTGAACCAGCTCATGCTTCTGTGTGTGGTGGTAAAGGTCTAAGCGTCAGAATGTGGCAAGTGTACAAGTTACGCCACTATAGGAAGAGCGTCCTTGCGTCCTTGCCCTCTGCAGGCAAGATCTCCGTAGATCTTGATGCATCGACGTAACCCCCCTCCCGCCGACTCCCTCGTTGCTCATCCTCTCTCTCATCTCATACCACCGCACTGACTGCGTTTCGTTGGCCCGTGCGTACTAGAGAGGCGCGACAAACACCGGAGAGCTGGCGAAACAGCAGATTCTGGGGGAAACTCGTGCGGGTTCTCTCAATCTATCCTCTGGTGAGCTGTCCACCCCCCGAACTCTTCCTTCTCGTCCTTCTAGGAAATCGAAACGCATCCCTGCTGCTGCTGCTGTCGCTCAGATCAAGACGGGTTGGGGGCTTGAGTTTGATCCGTTGCACCACCGTGGTGGGCACCACACCACAGCGGAACGCAAGCCATCTTGCTCTAGATTCACGCAACGGTGCTCCGCTCCGTAGCGTGGAGTGAGGGGGGCAGCAGGAGGTTGTAGCAGACCAAATGAACCCAAGAGCTTTTTTTTCGCCGAAAACGATTTCGTCGTTTACGACGGCGGCGGCGACAGAGTTCAGCAGGCAGGCAGTGCCCACGTAATATGTTACTAAGGGAGACAGCCAATCGCCTAGGCACACGACTCTCCTGCTCGCTACAAATGTCAGAAGCTCACCCCAACCTTGTCTTGGCACGACGTAAGTCTCTGCAGATACGTTCAACACAGCTCTCTTCTTTGCCCGGCCCCTCCCTCTCGATTGCAGCAGCTAATTCCTGTAGCATCCGGCGGCAGAAAGCGCTGAATAAGAGTGTATCATGGGCGACAGCATGGACGAGGAGCTAGAACGCGGTGGCGTGTCCATCGCTCGTGCTCCCGGGCCACTCCCGTTCTCGAACGGCTACCAACACCCCCAGCAGCAGCAACAGCTCGCCGCCCAGGTTGAAGTTGCGGTAGTGACCGACCATCAGAGACAACAGCAGCAGCAGCAGCAGCAGCAGCAGCAGCAGCAGCAGCCGATGGCAGGGTGGCCGAGGAAGCGCGAAAGAGACGGGGAGGAAAACAGCAGTATGGATAGCTTCATCCCGATGATGGGCGCTAGTGGTGCCCTGGGGAGAGAGTCCCCCGACTCGGAGATGTCTTCCTCTTCCGGCAGCGGCGGCTCGGACCGCTCCATAAACCGCGGCATCAAGAGGATGAGGCTCAACAACCAGCAACAGCAGCAGCAGCAGCAGCAGCACCCCGACTGCCTCCACCAACAGGAGCAACAGCAGCCGCAGCCGCAGCAGCACCAAGGGCACCACCCGCTGTCCGCCTTCGACCGCTTCTCCCCTTCCTCCTCAGCCGCCACGGGCATTCTCGCCACCACTACGCTGCACCACCCCCGCCCCCTGACGCTAGGCCGAGCGGCCCCCTCCGCCAGCACCCACGACGCCCCCCCGACCCAGGCGGTCCAGAGAAGCTCCTCCGGCAGCGGCACCCTGCACCCCGTGGGTGGAACCCCCTCCGGACAACAACAACGATCCCAGTCGTTCGACTCCTGCGTAGCGTTCCCCCCGTTCCCTCCCCGACCCCCCGCGCAGGCCAGGTACGTCCGGGGCATCCGCGTGGAGGCCGACGCCCCCTCGGACGTCGACTACTCCAACGTCAACCACGCGCTGCGGCAGCTGCACATGGAGAGGAGGATGATGGCCGCGGCAAGGGGGGGGGGCAGGCAGCAGCAGCAGCCGCCGCCGCCGTCGGCCGGGGGCGGGGGTGGGGGTGCGGCTACGGGGGTTCCTCCCGCCCCCGGCGGGGGGTGGGCGGGCGGCGCGCCTGTTCGATGATAAGAGGGGTAGGGTAGCTGGCCCGATGTGTGAGTTGGTGTTTTTTCGCTATGATGTGGGGTGTTTTCGGGGGCGCTATTGCCGAGGTGGTTGAGGTAAGGTTGCTAGCTTTAGGAGCACTTTTTTTTTGTGGAGGGCTGCGACACTCCTCTTTCCCCTTGTGGCCAATGTCTGCATCATTCGCAGAAGAATACCTCCGCGGGTCTCCCAGGTTGGTTGGTTGCTGGCACCGCAGGATTGGCATGAAGGGCCGGGTGCCTCGATAAAACTCGGAGGGCGGCCCGTTCGTTGTGGAATGATTGAAAGCTCTGCACCAGAACATGCTCGCAGGCTTGTTGGGCCGCGCTGCCTCCTTAAGTGTTTTCGTGTGTTTGTGGGTATTGTGTTGGTGTACATATTGTTGTTGTTGGAACTGCCCTACGCGGTTGTGTATAATACTGCTGTCCTTGCTGTGGGTTGTTCGTTGCTTGGGGTGGCATTCTACAGTTTCACTTTGTCCCCCCCCCCCCTTATCATGCTGCATACGCTGCCGCTACACCGGCTTGCCATTGCTGGTGTTGATGAGTCAATGGTTGTTTGTGGTTCCCTTTTTTGTTTTGTATATTACCACGGTCTAATTCGCGGCCGAGAGGTCATGCTTCTCCGCTTCGACCTCAATTTATTTTTTTTTAGTGTGTACCAGCTAGTCAGAGGCTGATAACGGGTGGCAGCAGCCCTCATCATGTCGGATCTAGAGGCGGGTGTGACAGCAGGATTTGTGCCACCCCTGGAGCTGTTCCTGTGTTTATTGGGATGGGTAGACTCTCGAACAGCCCAGAATTGGTTGTGGGGGTGGCAGTCGGAGCTATGGTTCAGCGCGCCAACCAATCGTGAGGGGTTTTAGGTGGGGTGAGGATTGTACAATGGTGAGTGGGAGGGGCTGAACGTGTCCCTAAGGGGGTTGGAGATGGTTACGTTGTTAGCGAGTGCCTTGTCAGCGCAACGAATGCGTCAACTCCAATCGATTATATTTCGTGCGGTGGGTCTTCGTCTGTGGTGATGATGATGCTGGTGCTACAAAAAAAAAGAAGGTGGTTCATCAGGTTTTCACGTTGGCGGTCGATATATTCAACGCTTAACGGCAGGCTTTTCAGTCGTCAGGACCGCAATCGGTATCGTTCGCATGAGGCGCGATTGCCGGTGTTGTTTTATCGCGGCGGAGGGTGGGGTTTCAATGACGAGTGACAACGTCGAGGCGTTTTTTGCGGGTGAGGGCTGCATTTGGCAGCAGGTGGTTCAAACCGATTGGCGGTTGACTGTGATAGCTTCAGAACCGTGCGTACATGCGCTTCTGCTTATGTGATGATGAGTGTTAATTTGTTTCTTACCATCAATCGGTTTCACAGTTCGGTACTCTTACGTTAAACACTGCTGTATTCAAGGTTTACATTTTTATTGGTTGAGGTTCGCTGGGTTCTTCGAGTACACACATGTGAGCTGTGTGTAAGCCGTTGAACTTGGGGACCGTTACATCTGGCGGCTGGCATGCTTTCATTTTCATCTTGCATCGCCCTGGATGACCCTATAATCAAAGCTCTCATGAACCCACTCCGGAGAGATCCCTTCTACGTACAACACATCCTCTTATGGGTTTTAACACATTCTCAATATGGGTTTGCATGCATGTGCTGGTATGTTTCTGGCTTTTCGCCCGATCACTGAAAACATGGAAACGTCCGGTCACCAGCCCTGCCCACGTGTGCTGTGCGTGTTGGGCTTCGTCCCGTCTGCTCTGGCGCCAGTCTACACCTTCCAGTATACAAGCGCCAGCATTTTAAGAAACGTCGATTTGGGGACGAGGCTTTTCATCACCACCGTCGAGCGTACAGGCCCTTCATTATATAGAGTTTAGTGTAGGATCCGCGACTAGATTGTGTGTTTGGTGGACGATTTTTCTTGTTTGCTGTTTCGCCAATATCTGAGCCTGTGTTTCTCAAAGGTTTGTTTCTTCATCGTGGGCGCTAACTACTGTATAGATATTGACGCATCAGCCACGATGCACAGGCAGTGCAGTCTAATTAGTATAGTGGTCAGTACACCACATTGTGGCTGTGGAAACCCGAGTTCGATTCTCGGATTGGACAGAAATTATGGAGCGCACATTTTTATTCCTCTTAATACATAGGTCTGATCTGGTTTTTGATTGGTGATCTCTGATTCTTAATGTTGTTTTTGCTTGACATCGCGTGCCTCGACGGCACCGTGCCGGTAACTCTCGCTCCGGAATTTCCGAGTCTCCGAAGAGGAAGGCACACTCCGGTTTTTTTTTTTTTTTTTCACCTTTCTTTCCCCTTGTTGTGCTTGCCTTAGGTTTCAACGCGTTTCAACCGTCCCATCCCTCTTTTACTACACTGCATCATTTATGCTCACGACCTTCCGCTTGCACCACGGAATTGCAAGTTGTTCACCCACAACCTACAAGGTTACTAGTAGGTTAAGAGGTTGACCGCGCAGGCCACCGGGCGAAGGGCACCTGCGCCATGTCTGAGTAATGGGCCCTTTCTTTTATGTCTCCACAAGTTTGTGCCGTGAATCGTTCGGGTTCTCAACATACGCCCCTTTTCTCCGCTATCTCCCCTTCTTGTAGCCACAATCGCGTGCGCTGGGTCTATTGTAGCCACCCCATCCTCTACCCTCCTCGGCTATTCTGTTACCCAAAGGCACTTCCCCTCTACAACATACAGATGCATTTTGGGCATCACATATTCACGTCACATTTATTACCTCAGAGACCCACGTCACAAGAATATCAAGGAACTACTTCCAGGGTGCAGCCGCGGTTTGACACGGACTCCCACTGATTGGTCAAAAACATACGAAGACTCCAACGT